TTTGTAACAATTAATTGTAGTCAATTTTGCTGAAAATACGTGTATTTTTAGGTGACAGGATAACACATCAGGAGTCTCGAGACAAATCTCAAGCTTTTCCCAAATAAACGTCAACTTAATTAATATTAACTTCAAATTTATTAAACGATGAAGTTGTTTCCAAAAGTGGGGTATCTGTAGTATAGTTGAATGATGATAAAAAAAAAATCAAGAACAATTTATAATTTTTTGTAAAAACAGAACTTAGTCAATTAGTTTAACCGCTAAAATAGTTCGAACCTCTTTGAATTTATTAAATAATGACAAATTATTTTCATTAAAAGTAAATTGTTTATAGTGTAAATTGAAGGAATTGTTAATTACTTAAATTAAATATTTTGTAAAGATTAATAAGTTACTGTTTAACTTATTTAATTATATAAGACGGTATAGAAAAAATATGTAATTTTGTTTGAGGAATCTCGTTAACTATCAGAGAGAAAATGTCAACGTCCAACAGCGTGTCAGTGGGATCTGGACAATTAAATGAAAGGTCAACGAGTTGAAAGCCTCGGAGTCCTTCAACAATTTAATATTTTATTTAAGGTGTGGGTAACGATAGTGATATTCGCTCCATAATCAAAGGATTTACTGGTAGTTCCTCAAGAGTGTGAAGAGGGCCTATTGCGGAAGTTTTCACTCCCGAAGGTTGAATAACAGAGGTTACGCCCAATCGACTAATGTGTGATTCAAATTTTGATATTAATGATTCGAGTTTCTTCTCAATAGAGGCTGTTATTAAACTGTGGTGACTTCCTGGGTCTGATACTGCTTGAATTGGAATTGTGCAACGTTCTCCTCGAAGGAGATCTTGAAGAGTTCTAAGCAAAAATATTTTTCGAGGAAGTTCTTCCTTTGATACGCCAAACCCAACAAACTAATTTTGATTTGAGGCTTTATTAAGTTCTGTATGTAGAGCTGCTGCGAGTTTCGGTAAAAATACCAATGCTATAGACAGGATGGATTAATGTATGGTGTCGCTTTCTACACTATCTACAGCTCCATCTTGGCTTGCAATCCGCTATAATGTGGTACTCATTGATTGAGTATAGCTTTGTTAACAAAATCGATTCTTTGTTGTGGATCCAGATGAGTTTACACAATGTGATAGATCGTGACCTTCCTTGCATAGAGGATAGTTTCTGGTTGGAGTTTGGTCTTTATTCCTCGGCTCAGAACTGTCCCATCTACTTGATTTGTTATGTGTCTCTATTTTGTTGTACATGGAGACACGTTGCCCACCTGAATAAGATGAAGTTTGTTCTGAGGTAGACGCATGCAGTCACAGCATTATATTTCCAAGAATCCTATTCGGAGATCTTGCATTTTCTTAAATAGAGGCCTTGATGAATCTTCTTTGTGGGACAAAATGTTACGAGCTAATTTCAGGGTTGTAAGTCTTTTTGTGACGAACGATACAACTTCATCAACAGAGGGTAAGTCATTATTCACATCGCTGTTCAATTCGAACCTTCGTCTGGTTTCGTCGTCGAGAGTTCTTAATGCAAGGACGGACAATAAGAAGTTTGCTGAATCCTTAAGTCTGAGACGTTGGAACGCTGTTTCACTGTTGAGATGAATGTAGAATACCTCTTCTCTTCATCCTTGATACCGTACATCTGAATCCAGAATATTTTGTATGTTAAAGTTAGTAAGATTTTTTGGATTGTCATACCTCCGCAATAACTTCTTCCAGGCTTGCTCGTAGAATTGGCCTTCCACAGAGAATCCGGTCCGGAGCACCAACAAATTTTTAAATATCCCTTCCATTTGCATGAATACGAATCATTTAAGCTGATATAGAGATAGTGGACTGTATATAATTAAAGAATTCAATTGTTAAACAATATATTTGCTGGTGTTACATGAATATGCTCAATTACCTGAAGGATCATTACAGTATTGGTTGAGAAATTGGATAGGGTTATAGAGTTTTTTTTTTATGGTTCCATCTTCCCGGCTCCTTGCAGCTACCCCGCAACTATGCGAAACTAGTTTGCACATTACGGTTTTATTTTCACATATAAATAAAATGCTCTTAATTGAGTACATACTCATGGAGTCATGGCTAACGTGGAAGTAACCTTTTTTTCATGGTGGCTTCAGGGAGATATTTATCATGGACCTACTTTTCATATTAGTGGAGGTGATTAGTGTTGATAGTGCACACGAATTCGGTGTGCCGTGAACAATATGAATGTGTGAATTTTTCGTTACCATTTTTCACGAAGCATCTGATAACTCTACTATAATTTATAGTGGAGTGTGCTTTTACAGTTGTATTAAATTGGCCCTCGCGCAGGCTCATTACCGCGTATGGGGAGCGTCCCACGGGTTGGGGGTGTGGGGATGGTCGGTGGAAATACCTTGGAAGTTTGGGGGAACAATGAGAGGAGCCCTCCAGACTTGCTGGAGGGAGGTGACCACCAAACTTGCTGGAGGGTGTGATGTAGGATTGAACGCCCTACTCACATATCTTCAGTTCATCATACACCACAAATAGTCATGGATCTACCTAAGGTAAAACGCTTATTATCCAGTGGTAAACCAGTCCCCAGTTCAGGTCTCCGGGTAAGGACTGCTTTAGGGAGTTCACGGCGCAAGTAGAAAAATAGGGATTTAAATATTTGTACGTGGAACGTAAGGGGTTTAAATCGGTCGTGAATGAGGTTAATGGGTACAATTGGGATGTCGTGGCTCTGCAAGAGGTTTGCTGGCCAGGGGAGGGCTCGATGAGAGAAGGAAAGTATACTATTTAGTACGGTGGAAGCGGGAATCAATATTTAGGTACCGGATTTCTAATTAGAAATAGATTGCTATCCGCTTTGAGGAACGTACAATTCTTTAGTGATAGAATTTCAGTAGCTATATTTCAGGGACATTGGTTTGAAATCGCATTAATAAACATACATTGTCCGACCTAATACAGCGACGATGAAGTCAAATGCGAATTTTACTCCGCTCAACTCATATCGGATCTCATCGAAGAGGAATGTGATCGCATTGTTTGTCAATTTCGATAATCTCGGAATCGTCATTCCGTCTTGTTGGATGAACTTCTCTCCAACGTTGAGCAGACTATTGCTGGGTAATGTGTACAAATTTTGGTATTGCAAACTGATACGAATCTCGTCACCAGATGAAAGTTTTGACGAGGCGTAGGGATGATGAAAGTGGAGTTCTATGCATTCGATTGAATTTCTAATCGCGGGAATGCCCTCTAAGTTTAATATTTCTTCCATGTTGATGATAGAACGTAGTATCCTAGTGATTGAAGAAAGTTAATATTACTTTCACTCAAGGACATGCACTCTTCTACGGAAATTCTCAAGGAATGATGCTTCTGTTCGTGGATACGTCTTTATTATATAGAAAGGTATCTGAAGTCTAAACCAATGGTTTCTCTTGATAGGAAACTTTCTATATGAGGTCCAGTAAATAGAGGAGGTACAGCTGACCGCAATTGTTAGTCCTCCTTTCTTGATACAGTTTATCGTTCGTAGAGATTCGATAATTTTTCATATAACGCACGAACTCAAATGAAGGTTCATCTTCAAATAGTAAACCAATTGCCCAGTTTTTTTAAAGCAGACCCAATGAGTACATTTGCCGTAACTGTTGTTCAAATTCAAAATCGCATGTTCGTTTTCTCACGGTTTGTTGGGAAATTCGTCTCATAAACACACCTTTAAATGTGCGTATTTTATGCACATTTGCCAACAGTAGTACATAGAAATTACTCAATCTCGGTTTTGGTATAATCCGCTGATTTCGTTTAGCTTCGTTAGTCAATTTAGTCACACTACCTCCAATCCGTTTTTGTGTGACGATCAATCGCAGCTTCTTTTTCTTCTTCTTGTAGTAAGCACAGCGCGACGAGTAAGGGAAAACACACGACGTCGTTTAAAACTTTTTTGTTTTTTACAACTCCAGAAACTAGATAAACTGGTTTATTGATACCTGGAATTCGTGAGAATATTATTATTTAGTAAAACATACATTTTCACTGTTCTTTTTTTAAATTGAAAACCTAGCCATTTAGTGGAATTTCGAGTGATTTGTAGGTTTTGTAAAATCACTTTGTGTAAGCTAGTGGTTTATAATTTTTATTTGAAAATTTACCAACTTTTTACTGTCATTCTGCTTAACTAGAAAAGGTATATAATAATGTGCATGACTTATTTTACTTCGAATATTATTCCCTTTTTGTTAACAAAAATAGGTGTTTTCAAATCAAATTCTTAAAAATAGTGTGATTTAAAAAATCCGATAGCCTCCGAAAAATGTATTTCTTTTTAGTTTTTAGGAATCTCTGTTTAAGAGCAATTCATATGAATTTTAACCACCATGATCTGCCCAAAGGTAGTTAAAATTATTTTTGTAAGTTTGAATGTCCCAACAATTTCTAGGTATGTACTATCTGCTATAACTGGACATGCTCTCAAATTTAGTTTTAAAAATTGAATTGGACATAAAGAAAATAAGGTTCTTTGTTTCGAAAAATACCTCAAACCAAAATAATAATAAAAAAATACATTAAATATTAAATTATAATTTTCGCTTTAATCTAAATAAATAAAAAAATACAAAACCGTTAAATGAACTAAAGTTTAAAATTAAATAAAAGGCAGGGTCAATGGGTACCCATATACTACGGCCTCAAGGAAAAAAACATCTTTTATTTGCTTGTTTCACTAATATTATAGTCTGTTATTAATACAATTTAATATGTTCAATCTCAAATCCTTATTCTTCTTAAACCTCATTATAAATTCATAGGTGTAAATTGAATCTGAGAGTGTTTGGTTAAACCTTTATGACTTGCACTGTATCAGTTATTCTTAATATAACCTTTAAAATTAACGAAAAAAAACATTTTTTTTTTCATCAGAGAATATGGAAAAGTATCTTTAAGGATGATGATTTAATTTCCTCATCATTTAATATTTATTATCCTGTTTATTACATTACCTTATGACTGTACTGTTATTTTGTTACCATACATTATATTATTTTTCATTATAGCTCACTTATATTTTCTTACCTTACTATTACATATAATACTCATATATTTTTATTCACTTCTTATAATTTATTAATAAGTAGACTACACATTTTTTGTTCTAATATCCTTTTACAATAATTTTTAGTAATTTTGGATGTTATCTTGTCTTTTCTCAGCCCTAATGAAGGCTTGCAACCCAAGCCGAAATGGCGGTGCAAAATAAACTAAAAATAAAAATCTTTTATTTTTATTTGTGTTCTCTCTGACAGCCACCCCAATAACCATATACAGCCATACAACCATATAGTCTAAAGTAAACAACTTCTTCACCAACTACATTATAATTTTTAGAAAAATGGAATTAACTTAGCTATTGGTTCAAACTGTTTCATTTATTTAAAAAATAAATTATAAGCGTGATGTAATAAAACATTAACATAATTAAAGTTTTGTAACATACATAATACAACAATTATTTAAAAAAGGAGATTTATGACACTGGTCATGGAATTTCAAACGGAACGATCAAATCTTCAGTGTGATATACTTTGAGATCATTAAGAGCCCCCTTTATTTTAGATGAAGCTCGTTTTATCTGAAACACAAATGAATAGCAGGATTAACTAGTTAGATCATATATTTATACCTTCATAATGTAAAATATCATCCAAGTTTTATAATATTAGTGTGACTTATTTTTTAATACTATCAAACTGTTGAAAATTATGCCTTTCTGATGTTGGATAAATCTGAATAAGAATCATTAGATCTCAATTCAGAAGCAGCGAAGGAAGGACATTACATGTGTTATGTATAAGTTTATCTGATCAAGGTCTAGAGACAGAAACCAGTTCATAAGAACAATAAAAATCATACAGGTAGACATATTATTAATTCCTTTCATTAATAAGTATAACCTGAAATAGAATATATTGCTTCTAATAAACCTGAAAATGTTTAACCCCAGAACGACACACAGGGGTGTGAAACACCCCACATTTTAAAATATCAATTTACTTTTATATAAGAAGCTCTTTAGCCAAGGTTTTTCATGTAAATAACCATCATACTTAGCCAGCCTAAGTCCGGTCTTCAGTTATCGAAAGTCATTATGAGGTATCCCACAACCCAGTATGTTGTTTACGTGACTCTCCTGGGTGCCTCACACTCCAGTGTGCAATCTATGTAACTGTTCTGTAAATTTCGCATTCTGTGAGTTTTCTTTGTTATTTTTAAACTTCGATTCAATTTTGTAACTTCTAGTAAGAAGTCCATAAATTGTTATGGGAGTTAGAACATAAAGAAAAGATACAAGGATCATATGAAATAATGATGGCATGTGTACGCAACAGCAAGAAAAACAAGGAGATTGTCTCTCAGTTGAACCAAGCTGATATAAACAGCCTAATATTGATCAGCTTAGTTAACTGGGAAAAGAAGATGGAGAAATTATTTATTTGGATTAGGCTATTCGTTACTTGAGCCCTGTTTGACACTCACATGAACCGTGAGTTTTAACATAAAAGAAATTTAGGGAATAAAAAAATAAAGAACTAGTGTTGGAAAAACAAACCAAATATTCGTTTTGCATGAAAGGGAAAGATAAGAAGACAAAAATGGTTTGTCAGCAATGTAAGAGACCTATCTATAATGAACACATGACGACAGTTTGCTTGGATTGTTGCAAGTGAGTGGTTACTTAAATGGTCTCCATTATAGGTTTTATTATCTTTTTAAGTGAAAAAAATGTTTTTTCCTTTATTATGTATATATTTTACATTCCAAATATATATATTTAATTGATATAAACTTAATGTATTTTCAATGGAAAATATTGATCATTTTTTTATTTTTTAGCAATGTAGATGTAAACTTTTTACTTTATGTGAGTATATAAAACATATTCTCTAAGGTTACCTTGAATTTTTTTTCCTGATTATTTAGCTTATTTCTGAAAGGTATTTGAGTTTTCCAAAGCATGACAATTTAAAGTTTGGGGTGTATCACACCCCAGAGTGTCAGAATGAGTTGACGTATTTAAGTGTGTCGTTCTAGGATTAAATATAGAAAATATTTGGTTTCACTTTATTTTAATGCACCATAGCCATTTCAGGTTCATGTGCGCCAACAACCCACGTCATTAATAACAGGATTAAAGCCATATAAAATGTCAGTTTTAACAGCTCAAAATTGATAAAATCATATTATTTGCAGAACATAAATGTCAGTTTTTTATTGAGAAATAATATTGGAGATGATATAAACAATATTCTTATAGAGCCACAACAACATACCAGGTATGTAAATATGAAAACGGAATTTTCGTACAGAAAATATATGTTTATTGCATACAAATATTAAATAATATTATATTCGAAATATTGTATATAACTAGCTGTACATTTTTACCACTTCTCTGACAATATATGAATGGAAGGTTTTGAAAAAGTTAATATTAAATATGGATTTCTTTTTTAAATTTATTAATTAATTTTGCTCCCCTCCAAGGGCATGTATAGGCCTCCTTAGAGATAGCCTACCAGGCTGGTCTATTGACAGCAACAGCACTCTACCTTCTGACCCTATATATGAATTATTACTGAATTACTGATGTAGTTAGATGTTAATTTAAAAAACACACGATGTTGTACATTGTTCAAAATATATAGATTGATATATTTGGAACTTACTCAACCTTTCTTTTTCTCTATACACGATCATTACATGTGGCGACGATGCTAAACAGGCAGAAAAAAAATAAACTATAAAACAGACAATGGGTTAGATGAGGAAGTCAATTTTTCTAAGGTCATCAACTCATCCAGAAGTACCAGGGAAAACAGGTTAACTGGAAGTAAATATGATACAGAAGTAATACAGGAGTAAGTACATTTCAGTTTCCTTCTTATAATATCCAAAAAATGGGAAAATTATATAGACTGTTATGAACAGGAATTAGAAATTAAAAATATAAATGGTAACGACGAAATCACAGAGAAGTCACAACGCAATTTATTGTTAAAATGTGTGGGAGGAGAGTTATACAAGTACGAGTTCCGTTTTGAACTGGAATTAGTATTAAAAATATAAATGGTGATGAAAAAATCATAGAGAAATCACAACACAATTTATTGTTAAAATGCGTGGGAGCAGAGTTATATAAACTGGTGGTGGATTATTTCCATCCTACAAAAATTGCTCAACTATCTTATTCTGAAATCAAAACATTATTAGACACATATCTAAAACCGAGTACAAGTTATCTGGGTAAAAGTTGGGCAAGCATACCGTGACAAAAATCAGTCAATAGCATAATTTTTAATGTAATTACGATCAGCAGCAAAAGATTGCAAATTTGGAAATAATCTGGAAGAAAGATAAAGTGATCAATTTTTGTTAGGACTGGAAAACCCGTCCACGCAGGAGGAGCTTTTTTGCCGTCATCCAAAGGAAAATGCAAGGCTAAAATAAATTGAAAAATCCGCTCTTATAATTGATTTAACCCCAAAACAAAGGAAAGTCACAGAGAGTATGGCAGAGGAAACTCATACCTGTAGGATAGCTAAGACCGAGCAAAGAAATAGAATAATTAGAATTGTAGATCCAGCTGTAGAATGTATTCGTTGCGGGTACCAGAAACATAAACATGGGAGTAAATATCCAGCTAGCCAACATACGTATAGGCTTTACAATTCTTATGGTCATTGGCAGAGGAATTGTTTGAAATTTGACAAAATTATGCTAAATAAAAGCAAGGCAAAATAAAATCCATAAATACGGTAAGTTCAGATAATTCTACAAATAGCAAATATGAAGTAAACACCGTACTAGACGTCTACACGATTATTCAGATAATTCTCAATTTTTGATCAGGGTTCAATTAAACAACAAAAATATTTTGATGGAGTATGACACAGCTGCTGCACGTGGCATTATAGGAGAAAATGTATGAAATTATATAGGAAATCCACCACTACAAAAGACGGATAATTTGAAGGCTTACCCAAATTCCTTATTAAATTTGTTGGGGGAATGCTCGGTGTCCATTAAAGTAGGAAAGCAATGTTTTAAACTGAAATTGGTCATGAAACGAAGCTACTCCTTTATTAGACCGAGATTGGATTAAAGCATTAAAATTATACCCTATGGGTAAACACATCAAGTTAAGTAATGTTAACAACTAGCAACTAACGACTAAAAATAAGGTGTTTGAGCAACACTCTGAACTTTTCCAAAGCAGCATTGGAACAGTGAAGGATTTTAAGGCAAAATTCAGCTACACGATAGAGTAACACCAACACTCTTTAAAGCTCGAAGTGTTCCATTTGCTTAAAAAAAAGTAGCCAATCACGAAATAGACCAGCTTATTCAAAGAGTAATAGAAAAAGTGGACCCATCAAAGACAATGGTAGAATGGGCATCGTCGGTAGTTTTTGTGCCAAAAGCGGATGGGGCAGTGAGGTTATGTGGTGATTTTAGAGTAACCATTAATCCTCATATGATTATAAATCCCCACTCCTTCCCAACATTTGAGATAATAGTTCACAAATTTAGTGGGTTCCAAGATTTTTCCATTATCGACCTCGAAGACGCTTACTTACAGATGGAAATAGCGAAAAGTAAAAAAAAAAATCTGGTTATTGCAACACATCGCGAAAGTTTCATGTAAAAAAGAATGACGTTCAATATAAGTGCAGCCCCATCAATATTTAAAGGATATATGGATAAAATTTTGCAAGGTATGGAACGGATAAGGTGATTTTTAAACGAAATAGCAACAGGAAGAAAATATAGAGAACATTTTCATCGCGTTAACTTGGTTTTAGAAAAATTGAAATCGGTGAGGTTGAAAACTCAGCAGAGGAAAGTAAGGCTGTTCGAAAAAGAAATTAAATACCTTGGCAACAGAATCAACAGTAATGGGATTCAAAAGATTGCGGCTCTAAATGAAATAGCATCTCCAAAGAATGTTAAAGAAATGTATTCTCTATTAGGCTTTCTAAATTACTATTGAAGATTTATTCCGGAAAGTATTATTCCAAATAAAACATAGGTATATTAGGATGAGACATTACTATTAATACTATCAACTGTTGCTTCAAAAAAGGGTGTCGGCGCATTGTTAAAACATAGATACCCCGACAGAACACTAAGATCAATCTCAGCCGCCTCTAGAACTGTTAGCAAGAGTGAGCAAAACTTTTCCACCAATGATCGTGAAGGTTTGGTCATAATGTTTGGGGTTAATAAGTTGTACGATTATTTGCTTGAGCAACATTTTACATTACTAACAGATCATAAGGCATTGCTAAGAATATTTGGAAACAAAAAAGATTGCCAAAAATAGCAGCATCCAAATTGATAATATGGAGTGTTTTACTCAGTAGCTTTAACTACACAATGGAGTACAAGACATGCAAAGAAATGGAAACTGTGGATACTCTTTTGAGACTTCCATTACTGACGACAGAGACTTCTTTTTTAGAGGTGGAAAGTAATAATTCTATTAGTAAAATTGAAAAAGTCGTCAGAGAAGAATGCTTGTTATCTATATCTATAAAGAATGTTTTGTTTTTACATTTGAAGAAATTCATCAGTGCTGTACAACTTTTTATTATAATAACATATGCTGTGGAAAAATAAAGCAGGATAGATACATGAATAGTTATTGATAAAAAAAACACATAACATTGGTCTCAATGTGAAACCAAGCAAGTACAAAACATTATGATTTAGTGTTATTTTATTATTTCACTTTAGTCAAAATTTAATGAATGGTTGCTTATTAATCTTTTTTATTACTCGCTAGAAAGTAACATATCAATATATATGTGTGTATATATACATGTGTATATATATATGTGTGTATATATATATATATATATATATATATACATATATTAACATAATTATTTAAATCGGGAATTGGCTATATTTTATAAAATCAAGGCTCTATTTTAAAACATTAAAGAGGATCCCATTGTTAGCATAAAAACCGGGATTGAAATGTCGAATAAACAACAGGATCAATGAACATTTTGTAGTTTATTGAATAATAGTTAAGTGACCTAATTCCTAATTTAAATAATTATGTTAAAATATAATACTCTAAGGTCAATTGAAGAAATTTTGTAAAAATAAAAAAGTATATATATAAGATGAAAATTTAATTTTGAACACTTTTTTATTTACTATGTCGATAAGATGATATTTGCCAATTACATGGTTTCACATTAATACCGACGATATATTATTAAAGCATATACCAATAAGACATTCTCTGTTGAAATAGGAGTAGGAGTCAGCATTTTTTCAGGAACTGCGATGTCTATTAAATAACACGGTCTCCTAATACTGATTTGCATTGGCAAAGATGACAATTTCAAGCTGTAATGGCTCCTACGTTCTAAATATTCATTTTGTTCTATATTAGTAGGAGCTAGTGCAGCTACATCAATGACATTCCTGAGAAAAAAAAATTATATATATATGATTGATTGAAACTAATCAAAATTAATAAACCAATTTTATACAAAATGAGCAATGTAAAATTTCAAAATAAACAAAACTAAGGAAATTGTAAGCAAACATACGTGGCTGTTTCCTGAAGAATTTTGTTGAGCACGGACTGCTCATCAGTGCCCTTTGGAGATGAATTAGGATAATGAGAAGCTAAGTCATCACTATAATAAAAAGTGTGATACTATTAAATATCTATGTTATAATAAATAAAATACATAGAGTGAAATCTGTTTCATATAAACTAATACAATCTTTCAGAAAAAGTTGAGATTTCATCCTTTTGAATATGAAATACATAGAAGAATAGAAAGATGTCTCCCTGGATATTTTAAACTAAACAGGAAGACATTTTTTATTCCTCAACTCAAGATTCCTGTAACATCAAAAAGCCAAAATTTAGAATGAATTACCTCATTTTAAATTTATATATATGTATATATATAAATTTATATATATATACTAAAAATGTATATATAATCATTAATTACTTAAAACTACAGATATAATTATTTTATTATATATCAATAAATCATTAGCAGCATTAATTCAAATACTATTAACATATCAAATGTTAGATTGAATTTGTTATAAATAACTAGAAATTGAAAATTTAGCAGGAGGGCCTAGCTGAAGTGTACAGCTAGTGGGGATTAACGATCCTCTGATTTCCAAAGGTAAATGATCATTGCAGAGTTATCGATAAATGAATTATTATTTTCAAATAGTTCACTTATATCTCCATAAGTTATATATATAGAATAGAATAGAAAATAAACTATATTCCCCTTAGAATAACAATAATGAACAGTTACAAAAGAAAAAATACATATCTGGCCAAAAACTAACTTAATAAAGATTCAAAGAATGCATACAACAACTTAAACAGTATGTAAATAACTAAAAAATAAAATAAAATCTTCTCAACTATCCTTATAATTGTATTTGAAAAAAAAAGAAAAAAGAATTACATGTATAGAAAGAAAAAGCAAAACCTCTAGAAAAGAAAAAATATCAAAAGTACTTAAATAAAAAGTATTGACTTTTTATGTTAAAACATAAACAGCTGAAACATGCAAAATATATACATAGTAAAGATATATTAATGACATAAGATGAGCAACGGGATTACAATATTGCATTATCCCGGCATAAGAGATATAAAATAAGAATAAATAGATATATACAATTAGGAAGGGGCATTAAATTAATTTTATGAGAATACAATTGTGACAAAAAGAAAAAAAAATAGCTAATTAAAAGAAAATAAATTATTTATATATGTAATACAATACCCAATGATATTGTAAACCATAAACAACCACGGAGATTAAGATAGAAAAGACATATATATATATATATATATATATATATATATATATATATATATATATATATATATATATATATATATATATATATATATGTCTTTTCCATTGCATATATATACACAAATTGAGGAACGTAAAAAATGAAATACATTTAAAATATATATAATCTTGTAGATAGAAAAAAAAAATGGATAAAAACAACAAACAATCTTTTATTTTTTATGTACCACAGTTCTATGCCAAAAGTGATACTGAATCTTTCCAATTCATAAATAATAAACAAAAAATAAAATAAAACAATGGTGTATGAAAAGAAAAAATTATCCTTGCTACGTAATACATAATAAACCAACGTCTGATTAGATTGTGAAGAGGAATTGGAATAGGAGGGTTTTGAATGTGGATAAGGATGGTGCATGGCGGATTTTAAGTGGGATGGAATTCCAAAAGGTGGTAGAACGAACAATAAAGGTATATTTAAATGAAGCAGATCTATGGAAAGGGGTGTAAAGGTCAGAAGTACGAGATCCTGTGGAGAGGGAATGGATAGATGATTTGAATTGGAGGAGATTGTAACAAAGGCCAGGCAATGATTGTTGATTATTTGGTAAAGGAATGTGCCAAGGAAGTATTGTCTTCTGAAGGAGAGGAAGAGCCACCCTAACTGGCATAGTAGTGGGAAACAAGGGAACGTCTCAGGGTCCCTTCGACAAATCTTACTAAGCTATTCATAATTCTTTTTAGTCTGTCCCAGAGTTCTACCGAGAGGCCACTGTACATCACACAGCCGTAGTCAAGGTGGGGGAAGACGAGGGAGAATACTAGGAGTTTATGTGTGGATATAGGTAGGGAATGGCGGAAGCGATGGAATAATTTAAGGATACAAATTGACCATTGAGAGATGTGGGCAATATGGTATTCCAGGAGAGGGTTTGGTCTATGAAAATGCCTAGGTTTTTAACTGAGGAGTTGAAGGCGATGGGATAGTTATTTAGGTACAGAATAGGAATGTTGGTATTGGATTTGAGGAAGGGTTTGGAATCAATGATAATGGCTTGGGTTTATCAGCATTTAATCTTAATCTATTTATGTATGCTCAGGCGCTGATGCGAATTAGATCTTCTTGGATTTTGGCAAACGCATCATACACCTCAGAGGGAGGAAAGGTAAGGTAAATTTGGGAATCATCGGCATAAAGGTGATGGGAACAGTGGAGGATTGATTTATGGAGGTCATTGATATAATAACTAAAAGAAGAGGAGATACGCTAGAGCACTGGGCCACTCCTGAGGAAAAACCAAGACAGGAAGACAAGGGTTGATTAGGGATAGCGACAGCTTATAACTGTTGAGAGAGGAAAGATGGAAACCATAGAATAGCACTGTTGGAAAACGATAATGATTTTAATTTGGAAAAGAGGATGGAATGGTTAATGGTATTGATGAAGGCTTTGGAAAAGCCAAGGAGTACAAGGGCAGTTAGTTTTTTATCATCTATAGCGGACTGAATATCACTAATGATTTTAATTATGGTGCATTGTGTGGAATAGCCTGGTTGAAAACCAGATTGGAAAGTGTTGAGTTGATTGCAATGTTTGAGAAAATTGGAAACCTGGGATTGCACTATTCTTTCCAGGGGGTTTGAAAGGTTGGAAAGGATTGAAATTGGACGGAAATCTTTGGAGGGAAGAAGGTTTAGAATTTTTATTTAAAGGAGGAACGGTGTCTTTCTTCCATGAGGTAGGAAATACAGAGTTTTGGAGGGAGAAATTTGGTCAGAATGCCATCTGGCCAATAGAATTGGAATGTGGTTTCATCACGGCGGATATGAGGTCTGTAACAGGAGAAGAGAAGGAAGAAGTAAATGGAGGAGTGGAAGAGGAAGCAGATATAAAATATGAGTTTAGATCATCTGGTGAAACTGGAAATACTGCTACTAATATTGGGGATCTGGAAGATTCACCGAGGGAGAGTTTACGAAGGAGTAGCCATTTGAATTTGGAATCGGGAGCTGATGAAAGGGCTTCATGGAAATAGGTCGATTTGTGGTTTGTGTCAGGTTCCGGAGCACCCTAAACACTTGATAGTCATCAGCCAGCCTAATACGTCTAAAGCATCTACGGGCAGTATCACGCCTCTTCTGGAGATCCTTAATTTGCTGACACATCCAGGGAGCGGGACGGCGATGAAAGGTAGAGGTTTTGAGAGGGGCATGGACTTCAAGGATATGAAGAAGATTGGAGGTGAGGATATCCACCACGGCGTCAATTGTGGAACATGAATATAATCTATTCCAATCTAGAGTTTCCAGGCTGGGTAAGATTTTTTCTTGAGTTAGGTCATCAAGGTTATGGAATGATATGGTTCTAGGTAGGATCGGAGAAGTTTGGGTATTGTATGATATTTGGATTAGATCATGCGACAATAAGAAGGAGACTGGTAATTGGGAAGAGGAAAGGAGGTTCTGAGCGGAGTCAATAATATACAGGTCCAACCAAGTGCCAGACCAGGCAGTGTGATGAGTAGAAGAAAAAGCAATGATGAAAAGGTGAAGAGAGATAAAAAGGTTTTCAAGATATGATTTATCGCTGGATTCGGAATAAAGAGGAACAAAGTTGAAGAGAGATGATTCGAAAGATGGATCAAATGGAACAAGAGGAGGACAATATACAACGGTGTATAGGAGAGGTGTTACATGAGACCTCAACAATTAGGAACTCGACTTGAGGCTGATCGGATGGAGTGGAATAATGGAGAGTTAGGGTCTTCAGGCTTTCATGAACATACATAGCTAAACTACCGCCTGTCTGATTGTCCCGGTCGAGGCGGATTAGTATGTAGCTGGGAAGGGAAACAGAAGAGGATGGGATGTAAGGGATGTTTTCTTCTGTCAAGCGAGCCAGTATAGGTGCCTATTCATCGGGGTCATCTCCTCGCTGAGATAGATATGGTGGCAGTCATTTACCTGCCAACCTATTTCCCATGTCGAGAATTCCTTTTAATTTTTCGCTTCTGCACCAGTTCGTCCCTTACTGACTGCCTGACATACCGCACGATGATAGGCGGTGGTCCCAGGTCGTCTGTTCTTGGTCTGCGACGCTGCACAGTGTCCAGATCTTTGATATTGAGCTTGATGCCCAGACTGGCCCCGATACTTGTAACTAGGGCTATGAGGGTCTCACCCGCTTGAACCAGGATGCCCTGAATCTCGAGTGATCTACTTAGCAGGCCTTGTTCAGCTTTATTTAGTCTGACCTCTAATTCACCCACTCTAGATTTGAGGATTTTATTTTCAGAAATTATTTCCTCCAGATGCTTTGCTTGTCCCTCCAAATGATTTTCAATTTTATTTAATCTTGTATTCAATTTGGAGCTGTGGTCTCCATATTTGTTAAGCATAGATTCAATATTTATCAAGCCACTGTATTGCTGCCAGAATTTCTGACTGTGTCGGTTCCATGGTGCAATTTTGATCAATGTTTTCACCGCCTACTGTACCATTTTTAGCCTGATCGCAACTAGCACAAAACCACGTTTTTTTTGAGGATTTAAGTCTTTGTCACTAATTTTACAGCACTTGATGTGATTATATAGTTTGCACTTAGCGTAACATACAATTTTTTTTTCATCTCTACCGATGTTGCTGCTGCATATCGGACAATGAGCCATATTGATAAAAAGTAAATAAGTTGTACTAACAATAATAAGACGGGATGTTATGATCCGTAAGACAACAGCGGGGCTAAATCCTATAGAACTCGGTGGTCTACTACAGTCCTGTAGCTCGTAATAGTTTAAATTCATAATTGCATGGCACTATTTTAGGTATGTATTCACTAACACAAAATAAACAAAAAAGTTGATATTAACATATATCTCAAACTTATTTATTAAACAGATATCAAAGGTTAAAGATTTATTATTACAATTTATTTGTAATCATATATATATAATATATTGACCATTATTTAATATTACTTTTCCCCATCTTTCCAATAACTGCATAATGCTATATTCATAGAATGCCTGGAGTTTATTGTTAAAAAAACTGATCCAAGTGGTTTTCGATATCCTCTTCCTTTTGGAATTTCTTTCCATTTATAGAGTTCAGCAGAGACCGGAATAAGTGGTGGTCACTTAGAGCTAGGTCTGGTGAATAGGGAGGGTGGAGCAAAAGGTCCCATCCAAGGCTCAATAATTTATTGCAAGTGACCAATGAGTTGTTGGGCCTAACGTTGTCTTGGTGGAACACAACACCCTTCAGTGTGTTCACAGGAGTGTCTGCCAAGGTAACAGAATGAGATTTTTCTTGTCATGTGATATTGAGGATTCCTGTAAGCATCCGCCCGTCTGGACTTGGATTGTAAGACATAGAACATGCGCAGCGCAGCAGCTTTTTTATGCTTGTGCATTTCGTGAATTTCAGGCGCTTGGAACAGTTCTGTTCTTTAGTATCCTCTTCTTTATCACTCAATTCTTCAAAAATAATTTCAGGATGCCCTGTAAATAACCTGGTCTCTTCATAAACCAGGAAGAAAACTCCTTATAATTTCTTTTTTCCAGCGAGATTGTTTTCATAGCAAGCCAATTTTGACAGAATATCAATTGACAGTATCTTTCAACTGGCTAACATTGTGTCCAAAGAGGTAATTTGCACCTAATCTTTGTAAAATAAATTCTAAAGTTATGATGTTAATTTCCCCTTCTATTTTAAAGATTCTTTCTGAAAAAAAAAAATTGCATAAAATGTCTGGAATGAAATGGAATCTTGCGATAATGGGTATAAACAGAAACAAGCACCTTCTTTGATGTTTTTGAATATAAGTATGTTTTGTTAGCGAAAAATATACTTGTTTCGGTGTAGTAAATATTTTAGACGCTATATTTATTTACATTTAATTGTGGATATTTTTATTTGTTTAAATACCCCTATATATACATTTTTTAATTTTTATATCGCTGTAATCTATACAATTAAATATTAAATAATACCAACGGGCTTTTTTGAAAACTGCATGTGTATGTGTATGTAATATTATCAGAGTTCGTATTATATTAAGCTCATGTTACGCATAAAAGACTGTTCTGGTCTTACGGGCTAGCTCGGGAGCACCCGTATTCCTTTGGTCCCTCCATTACAACTATTTTCTGTTACGATCTCTTATTTCTTCTTTAGTTAATTATCAAATTCTTTCATATTTTATATATAACTATTTTTTATATTAGAGATCAAAGTGAAATGATTAATTATTTCAAATAAATAAAATTAAAGGTACTTTAAAAGAAGCTATTATTGAAAAATAGCCATTAAGCCCTGTTACAGAACATCAATGAGAAGAAAACCTACATTATATTAAGAACCACAAACCATTTTGTGAGACTAAGTTATTTGGACTCAGGGTACCTCAAAACAAATATTTCCATTGAAAATTGAGATTCGAAAATTTTCATGATGTCAATAATTTCCTTTACCTTTACTATATATATCATATATAGGTAAGTGAAAGTAAAAATTATCACTTTCTGGTTTATATGATATCATTGAAACATATTGAAACACATATAATACCTCTGAACTCTTTGAACAGAAGATGAATTGCAAACAGGATCATTCAGTAAATGAGTTCTTTCATCAGCAAGGTCAGACTATAGAAACAAAACAAAAAAATAAGTAATGTAATTAAAACTAAACTGTACATATTTTAAATATATCATTAACTAAGCATATTGATATCTTTTTTCAAAATTATTTAGTTGAAAAGGCTAATATAAATGTGTTTGAAAAGTAATAGTAATTATATTCTAAACACATTACAGCTGATTGATACTTGAATTTCTTGTATCTGAATACAAATGATACTGATGCTTTTTTAGATCTTATATCAATTAAATAGCCAAAGGCAATGACTTTCAACTACTTTGTATTTGAAATATTCAATCTGAACAGTCAGACCATTTCGTATCCTATCTCTACATTGATTCTGCTGGCCTCTGATTCAGAAGAATGTTAATTTCCTATTTTATATGAGAAATAGCTCATAGCGATTAATACTTATTTTCCTTAAGGACTTCTGTTATTTAATAGTCAATAGTAAAGGAAATAGTTCTTTCAAAAAAAGAAATGTTTAAGTATTTTAACACTTTGATTGCGGGTGGGATATATGCCTTCCTGTAAGAGTTGGGTCACTGGTAAAGACAGGATATATGCCTTCCCGGAAGTGAGTTGGGTCATTAGTGTGCTTTTGGCTGTTACCTCTTAAAGAGGTAGGGGCACATCCTGTCTTCACCATTTTCTTTTGAGTTAATTTTTTTTTTATTGAGAATAAAATTCATTTAGCCTCAATCAAGGGTATTGAGTATTTGGGATGTCTGAAACACAATCATATTATATATACAATAAAAGAAAAACAAAATTGTAACAAAAGAAAAGAAAACTTGGAATAACAGAATAAATCAAACATGAGACAACACTAAATAAAAAAAATAATAGAAAAAAAAAATTAAAACACATTAATACTTGTTTACAATATTTACAGTCAGCCAAGGGAGCTCTGAGTCGGGCCCTTTCCCCCATGTGTGGAGGATAAGGTAAGACTCCAAGAGATCCCAGCGCTTCTCTCTCAGCCGCATCACTAGGATGGGAATCCAGTGGAGACTAAGAGAGGGCAATAAAGCCACATACGCTCTTGACTTGTGTGGAGAAGCTGTACATTGCCAGGACTCCAGTGACATATTTACAAAAGGTCTCGAGGCCACTGCCGTTTCTACTTTCTAGAAGAATTGTAGTGATGACTGGAACTGGATAAGGATTGTGCTAAGGGATTAGGATGATGGATTAGGTTCTGGTGAAAATTTGAAAATCGGGATGGAATAACGTCAAGGACATAAATAAGGGATGTTAAGGTCATGATGTAAGGTTGTGTTTATAACATGATAAGGAGCATTGACTTAACGTAAAATATACGGATGACTTTAGACTGGAAGGATGTGTTTGATGTTCGAAAATTTAGTTGTCCTCACAGTTCAAGCCCGTAGGTCCAGAAGGGTTTCAGTATGGTCTTGTATATTAATAGTTTGTTTTCAATTGAGAGGTTAGATTTTCTGTGAAGTAGTCTGTATAACTGGCCAAATTGTCGGTTAAGTTCTTGTCTTTTGAGTCTGGTGTGTAGGTTCCATGTTAGTATTTTGTCTAAAAGGAATCCAAGATACCAAGCTGTGTCTGAGATGGGAAGAGGTAGTGAGTTGAAAAGGATATGTGGACAGGATCTGCGTCGGAGGGTAAAGGTGACATGCTTGCATTTGGATTCGTTGATTTTGTGCCAATTGTTGCACCACTGCTCTATTAGGGAGATGTGTCTTTGTGAGTTTCGGGATGCTGGGTGGGATGATAGGATAGTGGCATCATCAGCAAATGTTACTATTAGGATGGGTTGGGATATCAGCTGTGAAAAGGATGTAGAGAACTGGACCCAAGACATTGCCTTGTGAAACACCAGCCTCAACTGGATAATAATTGGATAATTGGAGAATTCGGTGCCACAGCGGACTTGAAAGTAGGATTTGAGTACTAGGTATGAGGATTGGGGTAAGTGGGTTTTAAGCTTAAAAAGCAAGCCATCATGCCACATCTGGTCAAAAGCTTGCGCTACAGAAAGGAACTAGTGAATATTGCTTGAAAAATCTTTTTTAATTGTTCTTAATTAAAAAATCTTTCAGGCTGAAGCCCCCCAAAATTAAATCCTGGATCTGCTATTGGCCGTATGTTTGTGTACGACAATATAAATAGATATAATGAGACGCTATCGGTAAGTGACAGACCTCGATCGAGCCATCCCCGCCCTGTGAGAACAGCAAATGCAGTGAGAGCAGTGGCTGCTCAAATCAGAAGAAATCCCATTCGAAAACAACACATCATGTCTCGGGAAATGGGAATCTCGGTCAGATCAATGTCTCGCATAATAAAAAGTGACCTTAGGATGGGTGCATTTCGAAGAATGACAGGACAAAGGCTAACCACTTCCCTAAAAAAAATTAGAGTGGATAGATGCAAAGTGCTCCTTGGCCATTACATCAATGGTCTTCATCAAAAGATTTTGTTAACGATGAGAAAAGTTTTACAATTGAAGAAAAATTTAAAAATGGTTTCCCTCTCCTCTCCCTGCTAAACCGCTTGGGTTTCTACTACATCTCTTATATGAAGGCTACAAGGAAGAGAGAATCAATGAAATAAAAAGAAGAATGTGCTATAATAAAAAGAATAGAGGAACAACTATAAACAAAACAAACCAGGCATGGAAGTGCAAGAGACCAAGTAGAAACTGCTGTAAGAAAAAATCGCAATAAAGCAATAAACAATTGAGTGAAAGAAAAATGAGGTGTCCAATTACAAATCATACAAATATATTAATAATCAAATTAATTGATTTTAGTTTGATATATAGTGCTTAGTGTTTTAATATATATATATATATTAGGTGGGCGGCTTGTTAAGGGAACACAGCCATGTTTCCACTTTATTTAAATTTGAATCCAGTGGAGAAGCAAGCAGCACTGCTGCCATCTCTTGGCAGGCAAAAGAAGCAACAAAGACTGAACAGACAAGCAGAGGACCTGCTACATTCTTGCCCACTTTAAACTGAAGCATAGCTGGCCAGTAAGAAAATTACATCTTACAGCCTTCATAGACGAGATGGAGTAGAAGCTGAAGCGGTTTAGCAGGGAGAGGAGAGGAAGAGAATTGCAAAATAGAAGAATACAGCAAGTGCATTAATTCATTTACAGCCACCGCCCACCTAATTCATAGATAAAATAGCTGCAATAATCATGCTAAATTTATTAACCCACTAACCATTAATTGTAATAGACCCGGCTTAATAAATCAAATTATAATGTAAATATAGTAACAAATATAGCAATTATTCTCCCCAATGCCTTAATTACATATTAACCAAATATCTCATATACAGTCCACAACATTAATATAAATGTACCGGCAACAAGAGTAGAATTATTATGTCAATATCCCTGAGATCCTTGGAAGGGAATGACATAATAAATTAAACAACCCTTCCTCAGTGATGGGTTGATGGGGAGTTTGCTTTGAAGGCACCACAAAGCTCCATTTTTGTGAAAAATGAGTTAAAACAGCCACTAGAAACTATCAGAACGAGTTTGGAACCTGTCGTCAAATCTCTAAATGATAATCTGTTTGCTGGGATCATTGGGTTTTCCAGCAGGATTCCGCTCCAGCTCACAAGGCCAGGTCAACTCAGCAGTGGCTGCAAAAGAACATCCCAGAGTTCATCTGCCCCGGATTGACCCTCAGGAAGCCGTGACCTCAACCCACTAGATTATCGGCTTTGATCCGAAATGGAGAGGATGCCATGCCACAGAGCACACCCTAACTTGGAAAGCTTCAAACAACCTCTGGTCCGAGCAGTTGAGCGCTTTCCTGCAATTGATGACTGGCCACAGAGATTAAATACCTGTGTCAAGGCAAAATGGGGACATTTTGAGTAATTTCTTTTGTGTTTTACTCTCTACCTATATACATTTTATTTTCTAATAAAGTTTTTGAAAAAAATTATTTTTCTATGGAAATCTTATACATCCTTGCAACAATATTTTACAATAATAGACAGGACTATATATATATATATATATATATCACTATTAATTTAGAGTATAAAAGCAGCCAAAAATTTTAATTTTTTTATTATTTAAAACAGGTGCCATAATCTGGTCCGTGGAAAAAGAAAAACTCAGTTTTCAGTACCCACATAATCGAAAACTAAACACTGCCTTAATCAATTTTCAACACCTCTCCTAGCCCTAGCTTCCAGTCAGAATATTTTGATTTCTGATAGCCAAAAACTAGTTTGTAGTTCTACAAAGTAAGTTTGAAGTCTAACAAAAAATCATTTTGTTTATTTATTTTTGCCACTGTTATTTTAAGAGATTTTTTCATCAGTTAATGTATGTTCTTGCCTACCATCAAAGTACAAAAAAAAAATACAAAAGATTTTTACTTGTAAGATGAATTCAAAATGGTGAAACTACAACAGCTAAAAAATATTTTAAAAAAAATAAATATTACAGGAATAAAATGCTTTAAAGCTAAAGAATCAATATATAATAAGACCTACACTGAAAAAAGATGTGTAATAAGTTATAAAATGCATCAGAAGTAGCTCTTCAAGCACAATAGTGGCAGAAAAGTCTATGGTATTCCTAAAATAAACTCTAATATTGAATGAGAAATCATTTCGCAAAACTTAAAACAGGCTCTTCCTTTTCCACTGTGGAAGAAGAAACATAGTATTTCCAAAAGGAAGACTAGACTGCTGAAAAGTGCAATAGAGTTTGTAAAAGCTACTAAAAATAAAAAATTTTCTCTCACAGGTGAGGGAAGGGGCTGGTAAGTTTTGGTTGAAGGGATTTTCAAATTGCAATCCAGATGTTTCCCAATTAACAGTAGCAGTCACTCCTGTCAGCACTGATATATAAAATAAAAGTTATACATTTTCTGCAACTAACAATAATTAAGGGAAGAAAGACATTTCTATAGTCTTCGCCATCCAGAAAAGATTTTCTATGAAGATGAACCAAATTTTTACAGTACCAGAAGATGGAGAATGTTTATACTTATAAGGGGATACAAAAAGTGTGTACGAAGGATATCACAGAACAGCAAAGAGAGCTCTTCAATTCTTTGATACTTACTATATATATATATATATATATATATATATATATATATATATATATATATATATATATATATATATATGTATATATATATATATATATATATATATATATATATGTATATATATATATATATATATATATATATATTGCTAATTTATACCTGTTTATTATATATAAAAGAAATTGTTATCCCAGGATAACTATTAGGATAACTCTAGGACCAGTCCCTAAAACTTGGAGTATTAGTCGTACAAAAACAGGGTGTTGAAGACTGAATACATTTATTAACATATAGCCAAATTTTGTTTGGTTGGTACTTTCAGATTCTTAAAATTGGTGGTGGGATACTGAAAACTGGTAATTCAGGGTGCCGAAGACTGGTGCATAGAGAAATTTATGTGATTCACATATAAAAAAATAAACAAATGACAATGTTTGACACATATATTTAGAAATTAGAGATCTTTATTGACTTAACAGAATCAAATTTGCTTTAAATTTCCTTAAGTGTGCCGAAAACTGGGGTTTTTACCTGATTATATATATATATATATATATATATATATATATATATATATATATATATATGTATATATATATGTATATGTATATATGTGTGTGTGTAGATTAGTCAATATTTAAAACTCATGTTGAATTTTAACCATCGAGTAAGCTTATTCATGATTAGGACACCCAATTCTGGGGCATATTATATGATGTAGATTGCGACAAAGATTCCCCAAAACGTATAAATTAATAAAGAATAATCAACAAGCTGAGTGATTATTTTATTGAATTCGACTTATAGGCAAAAAGTAGTGAGAAGATTATTGCATTTTTCAAATTTTCTTTGACTGTTATTGTAACTGAATTCTCCACTTTCACCAAAATATATTCCCGGGAAGTCCAAGTAGTTTATTCTATGTACAAATTTCGCATTTTTATTTTCACAATTCTATCTTTCATATTATTTAACAAATTTGCTATTATTAGTTGGCTTATAACTTTTTTGATCTTCTGAATAATTACAATTAAAGTAAAGAAAAGAAATAATTTCAACAGATTTTTAGACACAAAAATTAGAAGAGAAAACGGAAATTTGATTAGAGAATGGACAAAGAAAGAAATTACTAGTGATATTTCACAGGACTGAGTGTTTAAAACTAAGGTTTATAATGTAAAAATAATAATAATAATAACTATTTTATTTTACTCGATTGGCCTTGAATGGAAATACAATTGATGGTATGATCATTTCTATGATCAGTGTGAAAAACTTATGGACTAAGATAAAATAACTCTTCAATGCCAAGATAATTCGAGAACTCCCATTGAGGCTCATTATCTGAGGACAACTCTGTGAAATGCTCTGTATGTTGGATGAAACGCCTCTATGAAATGTGTAGTAATATTGAATGAATGAATGAAAATAAATTTATTATTCCAGAACTAGTGTCCCTTTAGAACAAATTATAAATACAGAATAGGGATAAAGCCACTTCAACTGGGTGCAATTCCTGGTAACATGCATATCCCAAGAGATCTTAAGGATAAAGGGTATTGAGCAATTCATTAGTGTTTAAGTTTGGCTTTGAGTTTTCCGAAAGTCCACCATACACCATACAGCCATAGTGGAAGTGGGGGAAAACAAGAGATGAAAACAGGAGTTGATGGGTTTTGAATGGAAGGAGAAAGCGTAGACAGTTAAACTGTTTCAGGATAGAAATAGTATGGCAGAAAATAAGGGAGATGATGGTTTCCAAGAAAGGGTTTGATCAAGTGTAAGACGAAGGTTTTTAACAGTAGTATGGAAGGATATAGGTGAGTTGTTCAGGAAAAGATTGGGAGGTGCAGGAATAGATTTGAGGAGCGAGGTGGATCCGATCAGGATGACTTTTTTCTTCTTGGCATTTAATGTGAGCTTATTAAGGTTTGCCCAAACGTATATTCAATTGATATCTTACTGCAGTTTTAGGATGACCTCAGAGGAATCACCCGGGTCGAATGAAAGGTAAATTTGGCCATCGTCGGCATATAGGTGGTATTGACAGTTCAGGATAGAGGAAGGGAGTTCATTGATATAGACAGAAAAGAGGGTGGGAGATCAGGAGGCACTTTGTGGAACACTTCTGGATGAGGGTAGAGATTCTGATGGAGGGTTATTAGGTAGTAAAACTTACTGGGAGGACAGGTGAGGAAGGATTGAAACCACTTAAGGGCACTAGATGACAAAGAAATATTTTTAAGTTTGGTTAGGAGGATATTATGGTCTACTGAGTCAAATGGATAAGATCGAGAAGAATAAAAGAATATTGGAGTGAGATGCAAAAGTCTGTTAGCAACCAACGATAAAGTGGTCATTAGTACGATGTTCCAAAACACAAATATTCAATTACAGTAAGCCCTAAAACAGTGAAAATCCAAATTGACCTGAAAGTACTGATAGATAAGACACCTGTATCTAAAACATAGAAAGCTATCGTGGAATAGACTGTGATTCAGACCATACTTTAAAAATTGAGGGTTCAAGTGAAAACAATGAGCTATGAAGTTCATGATTTGAAATACCCTTAGGTACAACCTAAATTCCCAATTGAGAAGAGAAATAAATCTAAACCCTCAGACTCTGAGGGCCTCATGGTTCACCAGCACTGGGAGGCATTAAAGACAGGGCTAAAAGAAACAATAGGTTTTCAGTAGAAAAGAAAAGGCAAAAAGAGGTTTAAACAATTTTTTTTTTATAACTAATTTTTTCATTGAAAATTTATCATATGATCTGCCCCAATTAAGAGGAATAGGTATTAGCTCTGGGAATAAATTCATAACATATATGTAAACTGAAATACAATAATAAAAATAAATCGTAACAGCAAAAAATAAAATAATTATATCTTGTAACTAGTCCAGTCAATGAACGATTACAGAAGGAAATGGCAGGGACATAACTTTTGACTTGAGACATTGTCTGGACTAGTAAGAAGGTAAACATACTAAAAGTCCCCACTCCTATGTGGTGGTTAGGGGTCAGTCTCTTGTCTAGAATGAAGCTCAGGTACCAGAATGTTATAGAGAAGGGACGAGATATAGAGTTAAAAAGAATTAAGAGACATGATCTCCATCAGAGTGTGGAGTGAGTGATGATCATTTCAGTGTTCATAGTTCATTTCAGGGTCTGAGTGGGAGGATAGGATGGCGTTATCATCAGCAAATGACGCCAGGAAGGTATTGGGATATGCAAGAATGTCAGTAGTGAAGAGGATGTAGAGAACTGAGCACAAGACGTTACCTTGTGAAACACTGCCCTCTACTGGATAAAAATTGAAGAATCCTGCGCCGCAGCGAACTTGGAAGGAACAGCTTGAGAAGTAAGGTCTAAAGACTAAAATTGAGGGTAAATGGATTTCGAGTATGTGAAGCAAGCCATCATGCCACACCCAGTTAACAGCTTATGCTACCTCCAGTAAAGTGCAATATTGCCAGCTTTCAAGTGGAAAGGATATGTGATTAATAAAGGGAAGACCAAGTTAAATTATAGAATGTTCTGAACAAAATCCAAATTGATGAGGGGATTTTTTCAGAGATTTTGGAGAGGATCAGAAGAAGGCTTATTGGTGCATAGGATGATTACGGAGAGTTTCAAAGGTAAGTGGGATGCGTGAAGAATAAAATTGTTTAGATAAGTAAGGAATATAATTATTTTTGTGGAATTTGTCAATGAATCTGGGAAGAGAGATCATATAAAGAGGATTTTATGAGTTTCGGTTTATTTATAAGGAACTTGACCTTAGAAGGGTTTACAGCTATAAGAGGTAGGGAGACAGGAATTAGTGAAAGGAGGAATTCATTAGCATAGGTGGGATCCTGTTCAGGATGGGGATTAAATATGTTTTAAATTTTACGGCCCAGAACTTCCATTGAATTCCTACTCAGAAATTAAATGTTTTGGATTGATGCTTGATAAATTTGGAAACATTGTACAAATGTCACTCCACCATGACCAGATCTCTTGTTTGTAGTGTAAATGAAATTTCGAGAAAAACCAAGGATTGACAACAGGTTCACAGAACCATCTCCCTTTATTAAGATCATGATTTATGCCTACAGGTCCTTTTCTGTTAAAATTGGGGCATTAATTAGCTTTCATCACATCTGTTTTCTATTCCCACTCACTTGAAAAGGCTAAACAAACCCGCAATGGATTCTTTTCAGTAAAGTCAGGATCTTTCAAGGTGGTACAACCGTTTTAATCTACTTTTGAACACACTCAGCTCGGGATTCCATTTAAGGTGTGATCATGAGATTTTGTGCAACTGATAAAAGTGGAGTGACACTTCTACAGTATTGCCTCAAATTCTTGTACTCTGTTCTCATCTGACGAAGCCATCATCATTTCTCAATGGTAAATTGACAGGTACCTCAGAATTTGTTTAGTCACTTTTGAGAGGTTGTTATAAAACATAGACGGCAAGTAGTGACAATTGACATTCAACTCTCTGAATATGGAATACATATAGGCAAACAAATAAAAATTAAATGAAAGTCAGCAAGCTCTTTAAATTAAATTGATGGAATGACTTTTATTGCACCCTAAATACACAAATATTCTATGAAACTATAATGAGAAACATAAAATCAGAAAAAATATAAGAGGTTTTAAACGCAATTAATATAAAATATAAATTTCAATAGAATATTTTGAATAAGCTCAAGCTTGACAAGATAATTGTTAAAGCTAAAATAATTAAGCAGCGACGACATACAAATATTACAAACCTGTGACTCACTATTTTTACAGCAGTCGCTGATAGTACAACCCATTCCTCATTCAAACAATACTGAAAAGAAGTAGGGTCTAAAGAAAGTCAACAATTTTGAATCAAGCCCTCATTGTTTGTTTGATAGAATGATAAGCAAAGAGATATTTATTCTGTTCATAAAGAGATAAGAATGTATAAAGATAAACCTCAAGTAACAATTTTCCAGTTCAGGATGAAGTTTAAAAACAAACATTTAAGTACATATGTGTCACAGAACATATTCATTTATTTATCCGCAATTACAACTATCGACAATCAGCAGATGTGAATGAATGAATGAATGAAAATAATTGTATTATTCTGGGACTGGTGCCCCTTTAGAACAAGTTACAAATACAGAATATATATTAATATTTTGGTGTGTCCATAAAATACAGTTTAATATTTACAGACTGATTAGGAGTACAATAAAGTTATAAGTAATAAAAATATATAAATACGTGTAAATATAAAATATACTGAGAAAGTAATTAAGTAAACGAAATATCGATGAATCACAAAGTAATCAGAGTATCTGGGGGTACTTTGAGGTTTTTACAGCTTTGGTTTTTAAGTGCATTTCGGGATGAATCGGATTGGGAATGGAGTAGGTGTTTGAAGAGGAGAGATTTGAAAGAGGATATTGATTTTGCGTGTCGAATATCTGAAGGTATAGAGTTCCAGAGGGAGACAACTTGTATTAAAAAGGATTTATCAAACGTAGCAGCTCGGTGAGGAGGAGGATAGAGGTCGGACGCACGGGATCTAGTGGGACGGGATTGAAAGGAGCGTTTAAATTGTAGAATATAGGCAGATCGCCGTGTTCTAATGGCTTGGTATAGGAAGGTAGCAAGGAAATACTGACGGCAGTAGGACGGATAAAGCCACTTCAACTTGGTGTAGAATTAGGTAATATGCGTATCCCTTGAGATCCCGAAGATAAAGCGGATTGAGCAATTCATTAAACGTTTAAGTTTAGCTTCAAGTTCTCCCGAGAGTCCACCGTACACCATGCAGCCATAGTCGAAGTGGGGGAAAACAAGAGAGGAGATCAGGAGTTGACGGGTTTTGAATTGAAGAAGATAACGTTGATGGTTAAACTGTTTCAGGGTGGATATAGTACGGCGGGAAATTTGGGAGATGTGTAGTTTCCAGGAGAGGCTTTGATCGAGGGAACGCCTAGGTTTTTAAAGGTGGTATGGAAGGAGATAGGTAAATTGTTCAGAACAAGATAACGAGGTGCTGAAATGGTTTTGAGGAGTGAGGGGGATCCGATCAGGGTGGCTTTTGTCTTCTCCGTATTTAATGTCAGCTTATTAAGATTTGTCCATGCGCATATTCTATTGATGTCTTGTTGCAGTTTTAAGATAACATTAGAGGATTCTGTCGGGTTGAAGGAAAGATAAATTTGGACGTCATCGGCGTATAGGTGATATTGACAGTGTATGATAGAGGAAGGGAGATCATTGATGTAGATGGAAAAGAGGGTGGGGGATAATGAGGAACCTTGTGGAACGCCTCTGAACAGAGGTAGAACCATTGATTGAGGGTTATTAGGAACTACAACATACTGGGAGCGATCGGTAAGAAAGGATTGGAACCAGTTAAGGACACTAGACGATAAGGAAATATTTTTAAGTTTGATCTGGAGGATGTTGTGGTCTACCGAATCAAAGACTTTGGAGAAGTCAAGGATAATAAGGATGTTGAGATTTTAATGAGGGCTGAATGAGTAGAGTAGTCAGGTCTAAAACTGTACTGGAAGCAGTTCAGAAGGTTATTTTGATCAAGATATTGGGATAGTTGAGATTGTACTATTCGCTCTAAAGGTTTGGAAAGGTTAAATAACAGAGAAATTGGATGGAAATCATTAGGGGTTGTGTTATTAGAGATTTTGTTCAGAGGACGAACAAGAGCGGTTTTCCAGGTGCTGGGAAAAGTGGGGATTTAATTAATTTAACTGGGATATTATCTGGTCCGAAACCTTTGATTTGGGATTTGAAGATGGATCTAAGGAGGTCATCAGGGGTAATATGTGAAAAGAAAAAATGATTGGGATTAAAGGGGGGATGTATGAGGGGTGGAGCTGGTGCTTGGACAGAGGGATCGGATGAGCAGGAGACAAAATGAGTGTTGAGTATGTCAGCTGAAATATAAGTAGTCTGGGTTTGGATTAGCCTGAGGATAATTTACGGAGGATTGCCCACATAGCTTTAGAGTTTGGTGTGCTGGATAAGGATTGTTGGTAGTAGTGGGATTTGGCACGGCGTATCATGGATTGCGTACAGCTTGAAATTCATTTAGTCTTCAGGGAGCCGAGTGCGCTTAAACCTTCGTCTTGCTGCGTCTCTTCGTTTGATACTATTTTTTATCGCAGGCGTCGACGAAGAGGCTGGTGAGTACTTGATTGTTCTGACTTTAAGAGAAGCGTGACGGTCTAAGATAATGTGCAGTTGATTGGTTAAGGTTTCTACTATAAAATCAACGGAGTTAGAAGAGTATATGGAGTCCCATTGGGTTGCGTCAAGATCGGGCATCAATGTTTCGGATGATAGGAGATTAAGGTTTCTGAAAGATATAGATCGGGGACTAAATAGAGGAACAGGAAGGTTATAGGAGATCTGTATGAGATCGTGAGCAGACAAAAACGGAACCAGGTGCTGTGATGAGGCCAGGAGTTTATCAGGAGAGTCAATAATGCAAAGATCGAGCCATGAGTCTGAGTATTGGGTGTGATGGGTAGGGTTTTTCGGAACTAAATACAAATTGAGAGAGTAGAGGAGGTTTGGTAAATAGGCTTGTTCAGAGGAAGGAAATAATAGGTTGGTATTGAAATCTCCGAAAAGAGCAATATTTTAGTAGGAAGGGCTCAGTTCGTAGAGGATGGTCTCGAGTGTTTCATCAAAGGAGATTCTAGGAGGTCGGTAGATGACACCAATGAGCAATGAATATGAGGAGGTGGATATTTCAGCAAAAAGATATTTGATATGTGGGGAGACGGAGAGAGGAGGCAAAGAAGGATTTTGGATTTCGGGCTATCATGAACAAAAATGGCTACTCCGCCTCCGATTCTATTTTCTCTATCATGACGGAGTAGGGTATAGTTAGGGAGTGAAACTTGAGAGGATGTGACCATGTGTTTTAACCAAGTTTCTGAGACAGTGATTAGATGGTAGAATTTGTGGAGGAAGAAATCATGGAATTCATCTATGTTGGCCAAAAGTGACTGTGCGTTGACATGACAGGATAACAAGACATTAGCCATAGGAGATGGTAGATTGGGATAGGGAATCGGTAGGAGGTTCGAGAGATATGGAAATAATTAGGTTGGATTGATCTGAGAAACATCGTGGATGCTGAAACATAAATAGCAAAACTATTAAAAAGTAGAAACTAGAAAAATAGGTAAAAGAAATAATCTAGATAGTATCCTATAATCAATGGAGATAAGAAACAAAAAAACAGTAGATCCATACAAACAGAAAATATAATCTGTCGAACAATGAGCAATAATACTAATATAAATAATAATAAAATTGGCTGCAACATATACATAAACTTGATGTGCTGGCATAGTAATGAGAAAATACTACTAATAATAATAATAAATAAAATAAAAAGGCTTGATAGGCATGAGGAAAAGCAATACCCAGCGGTACTCCTTTCATGGTTTTTATTTACTAAAATATTATTTAAGTATATCCCTCATCCAGACCCTTTTCAGTCGTCTTCTCGAGTTCTCGTGCATACTAGTTGTGGCCATTTCTTTTACCAGCTGGTTGGAGTGTCCGTTTAATATATTATGAAATCGTTTGTAGTAAGTTCTTATGTGTTCATTGACATTTGGAACGTGTAAGTCGGTGTGTAAAGTGTGTTCACGTACCATGGTGCTTGAGTGATTAGTCGTAGTATCTTAGACTGAAAAGTTTGAAGTTTTTTTATGTGTGTTGGTTTTGCAATTCCGTATATTTGTAGTCCGTAAGTCCAAAGAGGTTTTAATAGATATGTGTAAATACTTAGTTTTTGTCTTGCTTTTAATTTGAAATGTCGTCTTAACAGTAAATGTAACAATTTTAGTCTTAGATTTAATGTGATTCGTTTTTTCTTTACATGTGGACCCCATGTCATTCTCCTATCGAACGTAAGGCCTAGGTTTTGTACTCTGTCAGTTTGTGGAATTGGTATGTTGTCTAAGTATACAGGAGGTCATGTTTCTGGTCTTAGAGTAAATGTGATGTGTTGTGACTTTTGATCATTTATTTGAATTTTCCAAAGTTTACACCAATCGAATATTATTTGTAAGTGATGTAAGTTAAGTGATACATCTGTAGAATTGTCATGTCTGGCAATGATAGCAGTGTCGTCTGCGTAGGTTACTGTAAGAGTGTGGATACTTTGAGGAATGTCGTGTGTGTATGTGGTGTACAGTAGTGGGGCTAGGATTGATCCTTGAGGTTCACCACCTAAAATTGGTTGAATAGAGAATGGACCTTGACCATGCCGAACGGAGAAAAATCTGTCTGAGATAAAGGAATGAAGAATTAAGTAGTAGGTATGTGGAAGTATGATCTTAAGCTTGAAGAGAAGCCCCTGATGCCATACTTTGTCGAACGCTTGGGTGACATCCAAAAATACTCCGCTTGCATATAATTTCCGCTCTAGTTGTGATGTCAGTAAATCACTTCAGGAAACAAATGAGGCTTAGTTGGTAAGCTTTTACACCATCTACACACAAAACACTTTATTCCTCTACATAAACATCACACTATCAGGAAAAAAGGGGTACTCGTCTCTGGGTAATCTCACCCAAACCTGGCTTGTTTACAACAGCTTAGCAGTGCTGCCTGATAACATGCATTAACTCTAGACACTCCCATTTTACAATTTATGCTTTAAATTGTAAACTGATTTAAAATAACAAAACAAAATTTAAAATATTCAATACAAAAATTTACAGGTTAAACCATTAATTTAATAACACTTAACCATTAATTTGAACTTCATTAACAAATGTTTTATGCTTCCTTTTTTAGTCTTGATACGATCACTGCCTAATAACATTCCGAGATACACTACTCTTCTTAGCTGTTTTTTTTTC